GCCAATGCCTGCTTTAAATGTACCTCTACAGTAGAACTGATACTAGCCGCCAGGAGCTGCCAGCCGCAGGATTTTGGTACCACATGGGTTGGGCATGTCTCCAGATTCCACATGATAAATCCGTCATCACAGAACTGGTTGTATCATTGCTTTTGATATCTGAGAAGTTGAACAAATAACAATCCGTCCATGCCATTGTGATAAGATTGGACCTAAAACCAAAGGTATCCCATTGACCTATTTTTAAAAGTACATTGAAAACAATGTTGCAAGTAGCAGATGCTATTAGGACTCCCAACACTTGTTGGATATTTCATATCCCTACTGCAATGTGAGGGTCTAGGGCAAGTAGCTAAAGGTAAAGGGACCCCTGACCATTCGGTCCAGTCACGGACAACTCTGGGGTTGCGGTGCTCATCTCGCTTTACTGGCCAAGGGAGCTGACGTTTGTCCACAGACAGCTTCCGGGTCATGTGGCCAGCATGACTAAGCCGCTTCTGGCGAACCAGAGCAGCGCATGGAAATGCTGTTTACCTTCCCGCCAGAGTGGTACCTATTTATCTACTTGCACTTTGACGTGCTTTCAAACGGCTAGGTTGGCAGGAGCAGGGACCGAGCAACGGGAGCTCACCCCGTCGCGGGGATTCGAACTGCTGACCTTCTGATCGGCAAGCCCTAGGCTTAGCAGTTTACACCACAGCGCCACCCGCGTCCCTGGGCAAGTAGTTACTCTGCCCTAACAAATTAGCACATCCCCAGCACATTACCTGTGGTTGCCATATGTCCGAAATTTCCCAGACACTGCTGGGATTTGGCTGTCAGAAAGTGTCCGGGTGGAAATCGCTGGAATAGCTGGGGAAGTCTGGCTATATGGTTGCTCAGGTCGTGCCAGAGGGGACGCGGGTGGCGGCGGCTGCATCAGTGGTGGTGGCTTCATGGCCTCTCCGGTCCTTCCTGGGTTTTCCCATCCGATGGGGCTTGAGCAGTCTGCTGGGGCACTCTGCTGCCACTGGGGAAGGGTCAAGCAAGACCAGAGAGGCCGCGGAGAGATGAGCCTCCCTGCCTGGGCCTGATCCCAGGCACAACCTTGCCAATGGCCACTTGGAGGCCGAAGGCCTGAGAGGGAGAGGTGGCTCCATAGCGGAGTCCGCTCAGTGGCCCAGAGTCAACCCCCAGCACTGGCAAGCAGCAGCCCTGTTGCAAACCACGAAGCTGGAGCAGGTGCAGGAAAGGAGTTGGGCAACAAGAGGAAGAAAACCTCCGCTTGGCTGCAGCCTTCACGTCAAGGGTAGGTCTGTCCAGTAAGGCCATTTTCAAAATATGGCAATTCTAGAATTACCTAGTAAGAACTGTGGTATTACAGTGGTGCCTCGCAAGACGAAAAGAATCCGTTCCGCGATTCTCTTCGTCTAGCGGTTTTTTCGTCTTGCGAAGCAACCCCATTAGCGGCTAAGAGGATTAGCGCTATTAGCGATTTAGCGGCTTAGCGGCTATTAAAGGATCAGTGGCTAAGCTGCTAAAAGGCTATTAGTGGCTTAGCGGCTTTGAAAAAGGGGGGGGGAGCGAGAAAAAAATGGTGAGACTCGCAAGACATTTACATCTTGCGAAGCAAGCCCATAGGGAAATTCGTCTTGCGAAGTGCATCGCAAACGGAAAACCCTTTCGTCTTGCGGGTTTTCCGTCTTGCGAGGCATTCGTCTTGCGGGGCACCACTGTAGTTGGAAAATAGCCTTGAATCCCGATAGGTTTGTGTTGAGACGATCAATGTGGCTGATAACATCTTGTCTCTAGCTCTGAGTATTTTCCTGAGGGTCTCCCTGTCAGTCATTCAAATTTACAATTCTTCCAAGTTTCTGTGTTTTCATTCCTTCTCTTATGGCAAGGTTGGGAACCCTTTTCAGTCTGAGGGACACATTCAGTGGTGGGCACTGATATATATATGTTTTTTAAAAACTGCTCCTTTTCCCTTATGGGGTATCCAAGAGCCCATATAGGGTCCTTTTGTAGGTTCTCTATTGGTAGGAAAAAATAACGGAGACCAACCAGAGAATATTGAGAAGCAAAGCAGCTAGTAAGCTTGATCTTTATTAACTGTTGCAACAGGGTGCTCCCCCCCACACAGCAGAGAGGAGGAAGACCCCGAGCCATGCGTACAAGCCCTTATATAGACATTTTAAATTTCCTGCCCTAGAGTCCAAGACCACCCCCAGAAACATCATACATACATCGCAGAAAAGGCAGTTTACAACAGAAATCTGAATGCGTTTTTACCCTGCCTGCCAGGTTACCTGTTAATGATCACTTGACTGGATTACCTGGGGAGCCTGGCCATTCTTTTGTAATGATAATACTTAATTCCTGAGCCAGGTCACAGGCTCACCCTATTCACACCTTAAGGCAGGATTTGTGAGGACAGAGACAATGGGGAGGTTTCTGCATTTCCTTCAACCTTGTAGAGAAATATTTGAGGTGACTGAAAGAGTCAGAATGGCTTTAGGACTTTTCCAGTGGGTTTTGGACATGTGGTTTATATATGTGTTTGCTTGGTACATTTATGAACATTTATTATATATAAGACCTAAAAATTCTTATAACACACACACACACACACACATATACGGGAACAGTTAGGGCCAGAGGCTACAGCAATTGGGGGGGAGCATCACGATGTCCTGATATCATGCATGTGGGTTTTATACTTCCTTCCTTACGCTGGGCAGAAGTTTCCCTGACTTTGGGAAGGAGGTTCCAAGGCTCTTACAGGATGCTGGGTGGGCTTTGGGAGGGTGGTGGGAGGGCTCTTGAAAATTTTAAAGAAATGGATTTTCCTGAAGTCAGGAATGCAGGTTTCATATATTGTTCTGCGGAGCAGTTCCAAAAGTCAAAAGGTCCCCTCCCCATTTCAGTCAATCTCCCTTCCTTTTTGAAGAAGCGATTTTGTGTAGGAAGTGGCCCCCAAAGGCCAATTTGCCTTCTGGAGATTCATTTTTTTAATTTTTTTAGGGTATATGTACCAATTCCCTGGGGCCCCGAGCACCCACAAAATTCCCTATGAAGGGACTGGGCACTCGCACATTTCAGTGCCAGAACCATGCACACTGCATGCCACCCACGGTCCTGGGCACCCCCAGTTGCAGAGCCAAGCTGGTTTGGGGGCAAAAAACAGCCATGTGAGGTTGGTTGGTTACTGACCCAAAGTAGGAAGTGAGCAAAGAAAATGATGAGTTAAGTGCACATGCTCATAGTATTTTCTTTTTGTTTAAGGCCATTTGTGATTCAAATCCTCCACCAATCTATTCAGCATTCCTCAGCATGCCCTCTCTTTTTTTTCTTTACAAGGCAGATTAGCAAGAACAGTTTTTTTGCTACAGCACTGGGGATGCCTGGGGCCTTTCTCTTGGGCTGTGGAGCATGAGGTCCGCAGAACACAATGGCCTCTCAGCTGACTTTCCTGTTAGCATGGAATTACTCTGTAAAGGTTCAGACCTAGAACGTACCTTGAACTACAATCTGCAATCTAATTTTTTTTACTCAAATGTGACCATTTTCTTGTCTTTCTCTTAGTTGAGCAGGTGTAAGAAAAGACTATAGTGGAATCAGTTGTGTAGGAGCAGGATTTGGGGCAGGTATTGGTTATCATACAGAGCGTGTCTGCAGAAATTCCCTTCTATAAAACTACTGTATTTAAAGGTATAAGGTAGAAGTTGCTTCTGGAAATCTTTTCTTTTTTTCTAAATGAAAGATTGAAAATGGTGAAGATGCCACCACCACAACCCACTTTGTTGCTCATTTGTTGCTCCCAGTACGCCAGCTGAAAAGCAGTATTCCAAAAGTATTAGGATCAACCAACCCAATTATGACTTTGACAAGCTTACAAAATAATGCAAGCACTCAGTGTGAAAAACTTACATATTGTATCACTAAAGGTATGATAAACCTGAATGATGGGGGATATGCAAAATATCTGCATCAGAAATGCCATCCTGAGAGATGCCTGGATCTCCTGACAACAAATGATCACAACCTGCAATTATTGCACAAAAAATAATTGCCTAAAATGTTTTGGATCCAACTGGGTTGACTCACAATGGATGATTAAATAAACTCAACTATCAGCTATTTTAAGATTCTAGATATTATTTGAGCTGTTTGACTAATCAGTGTTTATAAATAAGATCTGCTAAAGGCACATAAGTCCTAACACTGTTACCATGAAGATTTTAACAACCTTAGCAAAGAGGGAGATCAGGTAGTAATCCTGCTACAGTGGTGCCCCGCAAGACGAATGCCTCGCAAGACGAAAAACCCGCTAGACGAAAGGGTTTTCCGTTTTTCGATGCGCTTCGCAAGACGAATTTCCCTATGGGCTTGCTTTGCAAGACGAAAACGTCTTGCGAGTCTTGCGATTTCCCCCCGCTTCCCCCCTTTTCTAAGCCGCTAATAGCCTTTTAGCTGCTAAGCCGCTAAACCGCTAATAGCGCTAATCGGGTTGCTTCGCAAGACGAAAAAACCGCTAGACGAAGAGACTCGCGGAACGGATTATTTTCGTCTTGCGAGGCACCACTGTAGTTCCTTCTGCTTTCTCTACTCCTAGGGCAATAGTGTCCAAACTTTTTTCAGAGAGGGCCAGATTTGATGAAGTGAAGGGCTGTGAGGGCCGACCAAAGTTCAAAGTTATTGATATTTTTTTAGGATTGAAGTTGTCAAGGTTTTTTTAGGATTTTACCCCAGGAAATAAACTGCCACAGGGACCATATTAAATTGACCAGAGAGCCAGATTAAGCCCCCAAAGTGGATTTTGAACATGCCTGTCCTAGGGGAACCAGAAGGAAGAAAAATAGGGCTCTTACACCTCGAATAGTTGTGTAGAAAAGGGAATTTCTATAGGTGCAGATTGTTGTGCAAATAATACCCACTGAAATTAAAGGCACAGGAGCCAAGTCCTCTGTTCCAGGCTAGCTTGGTTCTCTGTTGTGTTTCAGCTCAAGACATTGGTCCACTAGGCTTACAAATAGTTTTATTTCAGGTTTTTCAAAATGAGTAAGATAGAAATGACATGATGCACAAATACCTTAAAAGTAGCAGAAAGACATTGCAAATTGAACAATTCTGACTTGCCTATCACAACAGTTTAAGCATCAATTTATTTTCAGAAAGCTTATAAAGTCTTAGAAATGCGCTCCGGTAATACTGGATTTTCATTTACAGTATTTCCAAAACCTTCAGTTATGTCCAACAGTGTCGCTTAGCCGATAGTCAGGCTCTCATCAATAGAATAGGAGGTAAGCAATTTTGAGTGATTCCCCATCCCTCTTGCAGCCCCCACCACCTAAATCCACTCCAGAATGTTGAAGGACCCTCCAGGGCAGATGTGGGGTGAGGGCATAGCTGAATATTGCTTTACACTGTTATCACTGGCTATAACTCTTGTTTTTTCCTGATAGCATGAGAAAGTATTTTTGAAAAAAACCAGCACAAACCTTTGTTAAAATAGACAAGTACCAATGAAAACACGCCGCAGTACTCAAGTATTTTCCTACTATCCCACTGATATTTTCTGAATTCAAGCGCCCACAAAACGCCATTTCACCTAATAACTAAATATGATTTGTGATTTAACAACTTTATGGGATCGCAAACAAGAGTTTTACTTAAATGCAGCATGTATTTAGGCGTTCTTTTAAATTATTGAAATCATTTGCATTAATGTCTTGCAAAACTATTACTGTTGCTTTTGTCTGAGAAGGGTTAAATTTGATGGTCATCAAACAACAGAGGTCTATTAGTGCTCGTTGGCAATTCTGTAAACCTTCCTTAATTCTGGGGCCTAGGACAGGATCTTTCTTTAGTTGTTTCATTTCAGGTGCTGAAAACCCGATCAAGCTTGTTAGAATCTCATCAGCAAAATCCACTTCTAAATAAGCTGTACCATCAGATATTTTTGCTGATAAACTTGAAAAGCCACCACTGCTTGTCAGATTTCTGGTAAGAGTTACTATAAATGCTCTAATTTTCAGAGTTGTAATAGCCTTGGGCTTGTTACTTAATAAAACTGATAAATATGTGAAGGGAAGGGCATTTAAATCAACTTTGTGGCACTTATTTTGTATTCTGCAAGTCTGTTCAGGTTGAGGATATTGTTCAAGTTCTACATTAATGTCTGTTAGCCTATTGTTAGAATTATTGGAGGGCTTTTCATTGTTTTTCTCTTGTACCATCATATTTCCAAAACGGCCTTCCATGTTTTTGGTTCTCTGGGCATTAAGTTTCATTAAAAAATCTCCTGTGCTTTCTTCATGTATATCACACATTATTGTTTCGCCAGATTCCCCAGCACTATTTATGCTAGGGCTTCTAGTCAGAACCTCTATCTGTTCTTGCATGATCTCTTCTTCTAAAAGTAAATCATCCTCCAATGGAAACTCATAGAAATCTCCTTCCATGTTTCCCAGAACTGGAACACTTTGTTCTTCATTTTCTGCAATGAACGCTGCAGGGTCTTGCTGCAAACAGCTTTCAGTAGTGGGAAGCAGAGATGTGGTGGAATTTAATCTGGTACTTCGGGTGCAGCATCTACTTTCAAAAGGGGCCTCATTTATCATTAATTCTTCATTTCCCCCAAGACTTGCCAGAAGCTCTTCATCAGAAGGGCCCACTTCATCAACAGGTATTGAAATGTCACATTCAGCAGCATTTGGTTTCTCAGCATTAGGATTTCTGTCTTCTTCTCTAATAAGCCTAGCAAGAACTCTTTCTTCAGAGTTATCTTCCACAAGGCTATCCACTTCACCCCCCAGCAATCTTACATTTTCTGGTTTAAGCAAAAGAACACCTAAGCGATATGCAACTTTCCCCTGTATCATAACCTTTGTCCCTGGAGGAAGATTGCTATGGAGAACAGGAATAGGCTGGTATTCCATGCCTTGAATGTCATGTATGCCATCTGTCAACTGCAGCATCAGCATTCGAGTAGGCTTTGCTTCCCAGGGCCTCAATGTTCCCTGTGTATTAGCAGTTATTTCCTCATTTACAGTATTTTTCTTTCTTATCTTTTGCAGTTGGGAATAGGCAGGCTGACTCACATCAACAAGTGAATCAATCTGTATGGAATAAAAGCTGTTCAATTCTCCCTTTGGATTGTTTGAAATGCAGTCAGGCAGAACTGGGTATTCGAGATCTCGGAGATCTGTAAGAAGCCACTGTTCAAAAACTTGCTTGTTAATAGAAGCCTGAGCCAAACTGCCACTGCCATTTTCTTGTTGAATCCAATCAATACACGCTTCTAGCCATGGTGCAGGAACCTTCACATGCCATGTAGATGAAAGCCAAGTTTCCACTCTTGCTGCCAGACCTGATGCAGCCATTTTCTTTTGAGGTGAAAGGAAAACTGTTAATGCCCTGGAATGAAACAAAATAGGTTTGCCGACTTAACTAAGTTTTTATTAAATGTCTGATTAAACAACCTATTGCCTGTGGAAACTCATGCAGCAAAATTTAACCAATCGCAACCTATCTGGTAAGCTAGCCAAGTAATTTGCCAGCTCTACCTGTTTATTTAGCGAAAGTAAGTTGTTCGTGGGACGCAGGTGGCGCTGTGGGTTAAAGCCTCAGCACCTAAGACTTGCCGATCGAAAGGTCAGCGGTTCGAATCCCTGCGGCGGGGTGCGCTCCTGTCGTTCGGTCCCAGCGCCTGCCAACCTAGCAGTTCGAAAGCACCTTCGGGTGCAAGTAGATAAATAGGGACTGCTTACTAGCGGGAAGGTAAACGGCTTGCCAGAGCAGCGATGTCATGCTGGCCACGTGACCCGGAAGTGTCTGCGGACAGCACTGGCTCCCGGCCTACAGAGTGAGATGAGCGCACAACCCTAGAGTCTGGCAAGACTGGCCCGTACGGGCAGGGGTACCTTTACCTTTACCTAAGTTGTTCGTAGGTCAGCAACTGAGCAGCTAAAAGTACCCCCCCCCAAAAAAAAACTATCATATGATTACTACATTTACTTGACTAGAAAAAAAAGAGTTATGGTACCCAAAGACCATCTCTTTCTCACAATTTATTGCCAGGATTTTAGGAAGTGTCTAACAGCCCAACCCTATGCATACTTTCCTTAGAATTTACTCCTTTAGTGCAGAACTATACTTCTCCAACACCCAATGCTAATTCTAGACAACAGAGATAGTTGGTTGGCCACTGTCATAATCCAGCACTGCAGAACAGAGAGGGAATGAAAAAGCAAGGGATAGAAAATGAAGAAGCAAAAGACAGAAAGAAGAGCAGGGTTTATGAAACCATCTGAATATGTATAGTTCTATCCTAAATGTAACCCCAACTGAATTAAGGGGTTCGGCCCTATCAGCAAGACTGTGAAGAATTAGAGAAAGCAATCCACAAAGCATTTACTTTGAAGTAGATGCAGTCACTTAACTAAAACCACAGCTAGATGAATGATGTGTGAATGACCAGGCCACCGCGTGCACATGTGCAAATCTTATGCAAATAACTGAACCATGGAATGAAAACGCGCACAACCAAAATTTTAAAGGAACCAAAGCAATAGAAAATTGGGGTGGGGACATAAAAATTGTCGAAATGAGGAACACATTTTGTTGATTTGAAAACCCTTCTTAGCATTGTATTAGAAAGTAGAGGTTTTCTAACTTTTTTAAAAAAAAAACACCTCTTTTTTGCCTCCCACAGCAGTCTGGATTGCAGAAATTAAGCACATGAGGTGAAAGTTGCCCTCAGAGAATTAAAGGCTGGTGGAGCTGTTTTTTGCAGGCTGTTGTTCCACAAATCATCTGGAAGGCAAGTTAAGGAAAGGCGGTGGTTGTTTTCCCCCTTTAGTTCCTTTTTATTAACAAATTTGCGAGAATGGGCTAAATATTATTACAGGGGAGGTTCTCAAACCTCGTGGCCTTTGCAATCAGACTGCGATACGGATTCCCCACAGCCAACATTTCCATAAACGGATTAAGACTGCACTACTTCCAACCAGCGAACATTAATGACAGCGCAACTCTTTTTGTTTCCTAAGCTCAGCTATTTAATAATTATTAATTATTAATTATTATTATTATTATTATTATTATTATTATTATTATTATTATTATTATTAAGAAAGCTTAGCCCATGGGTGGGTCATCCTCTCATTGCGGCGCTCTCTCTCCTCCCGCTCCCCGGACTCCGCGGGACCCGAGAGCAACGGGAGACGAGAAACCCAAGGCTGCCCCTTTCCCCCGCCATCCCGCCACGTACGTGAGAAGCGCTCGACTCGCGTCCTGCCGCCACACGCGGGCCCTCGGGAGCCCTCCCCCGCTTTTGTTTTAAGCGCCAAAGCGAACTTCCCAGGCTCGCGAGAAGTCCGCCCCGCCGGGAGGACGAGACGGAGTTTGCGCCGGCGCCATTTTGTTTCGCTCGGTCTCTCTCGCTCCCTTTTCCCCTCACGCGCGCGCGACCTCGGATCAGTTCCGTTCTCCTTGAAGCCCTTCGCCCCCTTGTCATTTCCGTAACGAGATTCGGACTGATCGCTTTGGTTCTTGCGGTTTTTGTTTTGTAATATATATATATCTTAAATGTAAGTACCAAGCAAGTATGTGGAAAATGGAAACAGGCCGGGGGATAAGAGGATGACGCCTCAGGCGCCCGGCCGGCCCAGAACCCCGTTTGCGAGGTTGGCGCCGCCGCGGCAGCCGCCACCACGGAGGGCGGGCCCCGACGGCACAGCGTGCCTCGCTCCGAGAAGGGCGGCGCCGTCAGCCAATAGGGGTGCGGCGGCGGGGCCGGCGAGCCAATAAGCGGGCGGCCGTGGCGTGTGTGAGTGTGCGCGCGCGCTACGGCTGCTTTCGGCTCTTTTCTCTCGCACTCCTTAGCGACGGATACGGCGGAGTTTAGTGCGCTGCGCGGTAAGGGCCTTTCCCCCCCTCAGAGATTTTCCGTTTGCGGCGGTGGCGGGGTTTGTGTGTGTGTGTGTGTGTCTAAATATTTCCGTATGCTGGGTCTCCGCCGCGTCGGGCCTAGGAGGTTTTCGGGGCGCTTGTGCCTGAGGGGCGGGTGAGGGGCCTGTGGGGGAGGGGCGACAGGAGGCCCCGCTTATGGCGGCCAAGGGGGGAGGAAGGCCGTTTCGGCCGTTGCGCTACGTGGCGCCGCCCGCTCAGCGCCACGGCGCCCGCAGCCGCCCGGGGAAAGGGAGGCGGCGCGAGGAAACAAAGCTCCCCGGGTTTTGCAGCGGCTGCTGCTGCTGCAGAAATCATGGCGGCCGCGGTGGGTGGAGAGGCGGCGGGAGGCGTTTCCTTCCCCCTGGCGGAGCCCAGCAGCCCCGGCGCTCCCTGTAGGCTTTTCCCGCCGGCGAACCCGGAGCGAGGCGGCGCCGGGCCTCTTTTGTGTGTTCTTGCCTGCCGGGCGGGTGGGCCCTTCGCTCGGGGCCGCCGCCGCGTGGCGTTACTCCTTCCGCTCCCGGCTCCTCCTAGCAGCTCGTGGTCGCCATTACAGCCGAAGCTGCTCTTGAGAGCCGCCATTTTTAGTCGCGTTGCTCTCCAGTAAAGGCAGATCAAGCTTATGCAACTAGAGGGAAGCTCCCCGCGCGACCCGTTTATTGGGGGTTTGTTAGCTTTATTTTGGCGGGTTGCGGCGAGGGTTGTTGCGGTTAAAATTGGGCCCTCCTGAAGCCTCGAGGTCCCTAACGGAAGTACTTGAGTGTCTTGTGCTGTGGGCCGCCTTGTCCGCAGCGCGACGGGGAGGAGAACGGGGCGATCCTTTTTGTTGAAAGCTGTTTATGAGGGGCTTGTGACACCTTCCACCCCCCTGCTCTCCACCTAGAGCCCGTGTTCATAGATCGTGTTCTTGCTTGGTGCTGCCTACTTGATACAATAGCTCCTTCCCTCTTGCTAACACCGTTAAATCGCTTTAATTGAACTCTACGTTATGGTAGATCCCGAAATCCGTTTGTACATTGCGCTTGTATGTGTTGGGGTGTATCTTGTTTTCCTCAAATCAAATGACTTGCACCAAACACAAAGATGAAATAGTAAACCAAGGTGCAGTGGCAGTGAGGTTTTTTTTTAAGAAAAAAAGCAATATCTAATTTATGGAAGCAAAGCCACTTCTTCCCAACGGTCGCAACTATTTTCTGCAGTTTATCACTGTTGCAATTATTCATCAGTTGCAGTGCCATGAAAATGAATTCAGTTTCTTTCACTTTGGGATAGGAGTCCCTGGCTTATATTGAGCTGTATTCACTGTTGCGTTGCTTTAAGAAGAAATAGCACCTTTCAAAAAATTCAATAAAGGGCATGTTTTTCATGTGGAAATAAGTTCTGAAGTTTTCTAGGATAGAAGTTGCAACTAGCAAAAAATTTAAAGGTGGTATTAATTAGCTGAGAAAACTAATCAGATCTGAGAAATAATTCAGAGGAATTTCTTTAGTTCCTGAAACTGAGAGAACTTGGCTTCAGTAAGAAAAGTGAACGGGCATTAGTGTTTTTTTCCTGTAAAACTAGAGTGAAGTCAAGATTTTGCATGAGATGCAATTCATGACTGGGCTGCAAATAAAGATATTTGATATAGTATGTACTCTTATACAATTCTTCAGAGAGATTAACTTAGGAGAAAAGAGGCATTGTTGGACAGACATTTGATATGTTTCATTTTTTTTCTGTATTCTGGAATACTGAACTGTAAAATAATGAACAAGACCAAAATGGCTGTATGTTGCTTTTCATAGGCTGGCTGATCTTTGATCCCGCCCAGAACGTTTAAGGTTTGCTTGGCGAAGCTATATAATATTGGTAAGTGCTGGAAACCAAATGTCACTTCATTTCTTTAGCAAGCTGCAGAGTTGGCTGCTCTCTACTAAGCACTTATGGGGTTTTATTTATTTTTATTATTTTTATTTGACAGGTAGTATCTGCGAGGCTAAAAATAATGGAGACTGAACAGCAAGAAGAGACCTTCACTAATACAGAAACTAATGGTAAGGTATCTTGTATGTAATCAGGAATTACAGCTCTTATATGTGAAAGTAGTAACTGTATGGAATATCTGTGAATAAACATCTCGTTTACAATCTGCACTGCAGCCACCGTAGACAATGGATGTTGGTTTAATAAAAACCTAAATTAAATGCTGCAACCAGGTCCTATTCATTGGTCATTTTAACATGTGGATCGCTCAGATTTCTGAGGGCATTTGAATCGCCTGGGGGTTTTGATTTCCAAATGTTGTATGGACTGAATGCATTTCCAGTGTAGATACTTAAAATTATTGCATAAATGATGAAAAAAACTTGGTGTACTTAAAATGGTAACCATAGTGAGCTTTTTACATTCCATAATTGATAATCCCAATATAAGCATTTTGATGGGTTAGGTGCTAATTGGTATTGTTACTGTTAATGTGACTAAAGCTAACTTCACAAACATACAGACTTATAGTTAGGTTTTTTAGAGCTTTCAGTAGAAATGGACAATAAGGTTGCTTTGTTGTCTCTTCTATTGCACTTACTGTCTGGCTGTTCATTAAAGCTAAAAATAGTACTGAACAATATGGATTTGCCAAAGTTACTTTTATTAATGCTGTTAGGATAGTAATTGTTTATACCTAATTAGCCTTGGCTTAAACTTTGAGATCCCCACATTTAAAAGACTCCTTATTCCATTTAATAAAATGACTTGTGCCCTACAGCTTGTAGAAGCTAAAAATTTGGATTGTTAATCCTCTCTGTTTTCTAAAATATTAGGCAAACGTCCAGCTGAAGATATTGAAGAGGAACAGGCCTTCAAAAGATCAAGGAACACGGATGAGATGGTGGAACTACGCATTCTGCTTCAGAGCAAAGTATGTTCTGTTACATAATTGCAAGAAAAGTTATTGAGTATGTGGTATTTTGTTGTAATAATTTTACTATCCACAGTTGAGGATGAATAGTGTTCAGAATAAAGAGAATACCTGATAATCAGTTTAAGCATACCAGGGGTTATATCACAGAACTCTTAACAGATTTCTGTTTGGAGAAACAGCAAAATGTTTCTGCCATGTGAGACAATAAACCTGATTTTAAGAAGGACCTGACATTTTTTAAAGAAAAGATTAAGCTGTATGACATATCTGCTTTTCTGAATTTTGGGAAACGGCAGCTCATTTATAGGGTTGAAAGCTGGTTCCTAGTTAAGCATTACAATATTCTGTCATAACTTGTACCGTATTAAAACATATCATTAGTATTTAAATTTGAGCAAATCTGCATTAATTGTTTGAATTTATTTTTTATCAGGAAACCAAAGGCAAGTCTCTTATGTTTGCTATAATAACTTAAAGCTCTGTGTTTAGGTTGGATTTATTTGCCATATCCACTTTTAAAAATCTGAGAGGTTTACTAAAATGAGTGTTAGTGTCAGCTTCCATGTCTAATCACAGCCTTATTATCATAATTGTATTTGTGAAAATCAATTTCAATTTTGGCTTTTTTTTTATAGAATGCTGGAGCAGTGATTGGCAAAGGTGGCAAAAACATTAAGGCACTTCGTACAGACGTGAGTATTTACAAGTTAAACTAATTTGCATAGCTATTGTGAAAATTTTATATAGGTGTCTAGTACAAGCCACTTGTATTGATTTTTAAAAAAATCTTAAGTGTCAGGATATTCCATTCATATAATTAAAACACAATAATAATTCATATGGAAAAATTCCTGTCCCTTATTTTACAAAGCATTAAACTAAATTGTATTTCATTGCTTTGGCTTGCAATACCAGAGAGCTTAAGCTTCCAATTAAAATAATTCAAACCTGGATGGCCATTCTTTATCCAGCTATAGAATTAACTTTGCTTAAACAGTCTATCTCTTCAGGAGAGAAGTGTTCAGACTGGCATGATGCTATGTACAGAACCGTTTAGCTGCATTTAATCTGGAATGAATTTTTCATGAACATCACAGTAAATATACCTACCTTTTTATAGTGGGTTGACTCCTGTGAATAGACACTTTCAGTATTAAGTCTCAATAGTTAAACGCTATGCTTTGTAAAAAGCAATTTTTTATATTGTGCATAGTCTTCAGTTTTTGAAAGTGTGATATTGGTATTTAATGAAATATTTGGCACGATATCATTTCACATTGTGTTTGATATTTTCATTATATTGTAAAACGCCTGCAGAATGTTATAACTGTCAACTTTCTTACTAGATCTGAGGTATAAGAAATGAACTTGGGTAGTAATCACATGTGCATTAACTGACCTTTCTGAAGCTAGTGTACTTAAAAATTCACCTGCCTAAATCTAGATTCCATACATATAATTCATGGATTAGTGGCTTTCCCAATTTTCCCAGGATTTCAGTAATCTGAATCTCTACAGATTTTGTGTCTACCCTCACGAGCCAGCCTGCTACTGCAACTTCTAATGTTAAAAGTAGTTTAGGCCAAGTAACTCATTTTTACGGTCCATAACTGTTAAGCCACAGTCAATGTAGCTATCCGTTATTGTGTTAGTCTTCAGAACAACTTAAGCTTGTTTCATTGAGAGTAATGAGTATAGTTTGTATTAAATTAAAATTTATTGCTTTTCCCCCTCTTCCCTCTCCTTGTTTTTTTGGCCATATATCTCTCCGTTGCCCATGTACTGGATCGACATGCCCCTGCGTTGCCCACCATGACGTTGGCCCATCCGCCCCTGAACGCCCATGTGAAAACCCTGGTTGGCTATGCCCAAAAATGTGCTCGTTGCCAAACGGGTGCCTTACTTGACAACTTCTGATTGAATGCCCATGCCCAATGCCAACATCCACGAACGCCAATGACCAATGCAGTACAATGCCAGTGTTTCAGTCCCAGACAGCAGTGGCCCCGAGCGGTATGTCCCAACAGTTTATGCCTCACTGCCTGATTAGAAAGAGAGAAATGTATATTATTACCTGCCTTTTATATAATTAAATAGTATCCCCGTAGACGGTGTATTGTTTTTTTTAAGTTTTCTGTCTTATTTTCCCCATTAAGTCTTTTTTGTCACTGAACTTTTACGTGAGTTGCCCACCCAACAATCCACTAATTTTATTTCAATGGAAGGAGCACAGCTTCAATTGTTGTATATTTGCTGCATTGTAAATCAGATTGTTTCAAAATAGTCTCTCGCTCTGCTCTGTCTTTGTGGTCCACCTTGCTCCCCCAGCATTGCCTGTTCATAATTTTTTCTGATGAAATGCTAACTCCTGGTTCACTCTCCTTCACTTCTCATTTGTGTTGTCTTTTTTGTCTTGCATTTGTATTCGTTTTCTTGCAGAGCCCATTAGTAACCTAATTTCTAACTGGTCTCATAACCCTATTCCAAATATAATGTTCACCACTTGCATATTCCCATGTTTCCTATGAGAAGGTGTGCCAGTTTAACAATGTAATAGTGAGGGTATCCTAAATTAGTGGTGGCGGGGAACATGAGTATTCACTCCTGCTTTCAGTTCTTCGTTAATTTCTTGTCCACTTAATCTGACTCCTTCCAAGAAACTCATTCTCTTATCTCCAAAACCTTATTTTAAACTTGTATCATTTATATTATTGGGCATAAACAAAGGTGCATGTGCTGTATCTTCAGTAAAAGGTTTACTTAAGTGGGGAATATTAACTCGTAAGTTCAGCTCTGTAAAGTTGACTTATAACACATAAAATTATGAATACACAACTTACTTTACCTTTCCCCCTATCTTATTTCTGACACCTGATGCTTAATGCTATTTGACAGCATACTGAGTATAAGTGCAGATATCGAAACAATTGGAGAAATCTTGAAGAAAATTATCCCTACTTTGGAAGAGGTAAGTGTATTTGGGTGTATACATCTGAATGGCGAGCTTCAAATGCTCTTGTTTTCTGTAGCTAACTTGCCCTCTATTTAAAATACAGATATGTGTCCCAGTTGGAGTGTCAGCAAGAGTTGGTTGTGTATAACACACCAAATAAAATTAAGTTTGAAATTTTAATGTACTGAGGCAGGCCATAGGTCCATGTAACTAAGTATTGTTTTATATTTTGATTTTATTGTGTGAACCGCCTTGTCATCTCTGGGTATAGGGTGGTATATATATTCAGTTAATAATAATAAATAATCATCATCACCTTGCCTACACTGATAGCAGCTCTCCAAAGTTTAAGAGGGGACTTTGCCAGCCCTTTCTGAAGATGCCAAGGCTTGAACCTGGGAGCTTTTTATATACAAATTCTATCACTGAGCTGTGGCCCCTTATTTTCTTGGGGTGCATTATCAATAGCAAGGTCACTGTGTGTGGTCATAGACCTTGATAGTAGGGGTTGATTTTATTTTTCCTATATGCTGAATATTCCTTGACTTAAATAAAACCCGCTAAGAATGGCAATCGGAAAGTATTTTAGGCTGGTCTGCTTACATATGCACTCCTTCCAGTGAGATTTTCTACTTGGAATATTAGGAACCCCCGCCCCCCACTACAATATCACAGCTGTGTTTGAAACACCTTTTAGATTTTTAAAAGCAGCTGGCTGGACTGCATAAACTTGTGTTAGAGTAAAATCAGGCCCCTGAACTCTTGGATAATGGTACTACTTTAACATTTAAATCATAATATATAAACTGTTTGGAGAATGATGTCTGGATTTAGTGGGTGATAGGTACTGGAAGTTGGAAATCAGAAAAAGTAACAGTATGGTACTGTACTGGGTAGTAAATGGGTACTTATTCAAGCAAACATCTTACTGACTACTTTTCTCATTCTTCACCCTGAACATGTCTATAGTATCAACATTACAAGGGAAGTGACTTCGACTGTGAGTTAAGGCTGTTGATTCACCAGAGTTTGGCTGGAGGAATTATTGGTGTCAAGGGTGCTAAAATCAAAGAACTCAGAGAGGTAACATAATTTTTGTCTTTTGATATAAGCATATTTACCTTAAAAACAATCACTTTCTTGAAGATGATGTTCAGTTCATAGTTGTTACTAGTCATTGGGTGGCAAGAATGCCTCAACCTTACTAGAATTTATTCATCTTGTGCTGCTAAAGAATTACAAACCCAAATATGTGATTAATTTACAAACACAGAGTTTCCTTTCAGTAAAAGAAAGTGTAGAGAAAGAGATCAATTTTATTCTTGTTTTAACTTTGGTTACTAAAATTGGTGACAGTTTCTAATACTTCTGTAGTATCTGAAGCTGTTTCTCATTGTACAGCTGAAATGGCTAGCGCAAAAGGTTTGTGGGTGCCTGATCCCCTGATGGAACTTGTACTCCAGAGATTCTAGAGAAACAATTTCTTAGCAGTTACTGCAAAGGTGGTGGTTTCCACATAATTTGTACACCGTAGTTGGAGGTTCACCAAAATCTGAGCCTGTGTAGTAGCGTCACTAAGTGTAAAAATGGAATACGAAATCTATAGAGTGAAAACATAGCCTAATAATTGTCAAACACTTCACAGTGGTCTTTGTTAATCACATTTCACTCCTGGTATAAGGAACCAACTTGGGCTGCTGACAAAATAGCTCCTTAGAGATTCACTCAGTTTCTGGAGTGCAGGCCTCTCTATAAATTAGGGTTCCGAGGCTAAAAAGTCTGTCTTTGATTTGAGCACTCATGGGGGAATACTGGGGCAAATCCAACTACAGTGGTACCTCAGCTTCAGGTTACAGAAGCTTCAGGCTACAGACTCTGCTAACCCAGAAATAGTACCTCGGGTTAAGAATTTTGCTTCAGGATGAGAACAGAAATTGTGTGGTGGCGGCGGGAGGCCCCATTAGCTAAAGTGGCCCTTCAGATTAAGAACAGTTTCAGGTTAAGAACGGACCTCCAAAACGAATTAAGTTCTTAACCCAAGCTACCACCATAAACATGACTTGTTTACAACTTACGAATGTGTTTAAAGTTGATGATAAAAGCAAGTAGGTCTGCCACAATTGTGTCTGCACAGTTTTGTTCAGCAGACCTTTTTATGACTGTTGAAGTGCTTTTGCAGCCTGGCGATCTTTCACTGGAAAATTTTGAACCTTTAGACTCATTGTGAAGACTTTCTTTTATTCATTTTATTAAGAAAGGACATTGTTTCATCTACTCTTAGAGGCAATAGTAAGACCAGTGTTGCAGAAGCTCGCTTGATCCCCAATTAATTAAATACTTAAAGTCAAACCATTTGCTAGCTGTGGTGGCTGAGCACTCAATTATTTAGACATTTAAAGACCAGGGTTTGGGGCTAGGACTTCTTTGGCTTCATCTTCTTTCTGCATCTTTGTAGGAGAGAAATTTAATGTGTCCCTGTTGAATGTCTTGCACGCTTTGAGGTTATTGAGAATATTAAAAATAGCACCACACTTTATTTCAACCCTGAGTTAGAGGTTTTTTTGCAATGGTTCCTTCTATTTTGTTGGGACATTAATGTACTTCTCGTCGTTGGCTCTTGTGGACTTCTGCCGGGGTTTGTCCTAACTAAAACTGCTGAAAAAGTTCATCTTGGATTTTGGAGCGGATTCATGATGGTCCAGCTCAATTTATTCTGAAGCATTTGTGGCAATATTCCTTGAATCACTTAGCATAATGTAGCATGCTAGTATTACTTAGTAAATAGTAATACAGTTGTACCTTGGTTTTTGAACGCCTTGTTGCTTGAACATTTTGGTTCCCGAACACTGCAAACCTGGAAGTGAGTGTTCCAGTTTGCAAACCTTTTTTGGAAGCCAAACATCTGACACAGCTTCTGTGGCTTCCAGTTGAGTGCAGGAAGCTCCTACAGCCGATCGGAAGCTGTACCTTGGTTTTTGAACATTTTCGGAAGTTGAAAGGACTTCCTGAACAGATTCCGTTTGAGAACCAAGGTACAACTATGCTTAGCATGATGTCAGTAAAATGTCCAATTTAGAAGAACAGGATTTGTTGGTAGCCCCAGAAGTAGTTCAGGAAAACTGCTTTGTGATGTGGTCGTGTTACACTTAAAAGAGCAGATACGCAATTGGAAGTGTTACTATGTCCAGGCCTCCTATATCAGGTGGAGTTGGTAGCCAGGAGTGTTTGTCTACTGACTTTGGCTAATGTACCAATGGTTTGAATGCCTGCTAAAGAAGGATTGTGCAGGCTCTAATACCCTCTTGACTGGACCACAGTAATGTGCGGCAACTTGGAAACTTTACTTGGTTGGTTAGATATGTCAGCTGACAGAAGCTTATAATAATAATTTGTTGGTGCTCTTCTGGCAATAAATTTTTTTCCCAGACCAAATTTAAGCCCAGAAATCAAGCTTTAATGCAGTTAATATATCATAAATGGTTAAATTTAAGGAATAATCTTTGGAGGGAGTATGTGACATGTGTAGCCCCTCATTTGGGTTGGATGTAAGTTGTGGAACCAAGCATGTGAAAAAACATCAGTTCTGCTTTTAAATGCATTTTACAAATTTCTATTTTGAATTGGGGAGGAAGGAAGGAAACTCAATAGGGGTGGGACCATAAATCATTCCTGTATTGTTGAATTTTAAAGATATCAGACAGTGAAAAGTAGGTGAACCATAACTAGTGTAATTATATGGTTTGTATGTACAAGCCATGAGAGTGCATTTTGAGAATGGAGTTTTCTTAGTTTCCAGTTTGTATTGTTTGTGCCACTACTTGTTCAGCATACAAATCTCAAAAACAAACTATGTTAAATAGTTTTCAGCTTTCTTATTGGTTAGAGTGGATTCTAAATAATTTTTTACTTCAAATTTTCTTGGCAGAACACTCAAACCACCATTAAGCTTTTCCAAGAGTGCTGTCCACATTCTTCTGACAGAGTGGTGCTAATTGGTGGAAAGCCTGATAGAGTTGTGGAATGCATCAAAATAATATTGGATCTTATATCAGAGGTAATTTAATCTTTACAGTAATTTGTTTTCATATCCCCACGCCTTTTTTGTGCATAGATAGTTGCATTTTTTGCTTGAAATAAGCTATACATGTAACTTCAATAATTGGTAGTCTTTTAATATATGTGTTAAAATATAATTGTGGGAAATGTTCAGAAGACTAAAGTTGTTTTCCTTTTTTATATTAGTCACCAATCAAAGGACGTGCACAGCCTTATGATCCAAACTTTTATGATGAAACGTACGACTATGGTGGATTTACAATGATGTTTGATGACAGAAGGGGGCGTCCTGTGGGATTTCCAATGCGTGGCAGAGGAGGCTTTGATCGAATGCCTCCAGGTCGTGGTCGTCCAATGCCTCCACGAAGAGATTATGATGACATGAGCCCTCGCAGAGGACCTCCTCCCCCTCCTCCAGGCCGTGGTGGTAGAGGTGGCAGCAGAGCTCGCAATCTTCCTCTTCCTCCCCCTCCTCCTCCCAGAGGCGGGTACGTCAACATTGTAATGATTCCGAGTGCTTTTATAGAGCAGTTCAGCTAACAGCTGCTTAGAGTAAGGTTTGTGCTTGAGGGAGAACATAGTAGTTGATAAATGGAACTGGTTTTTATGTTTGTTTTAAGTGGGATGGATGGATTTATAAAACATGAATTTCTGTGACATAATATTAGTCAAATTGCTTATTTATGTATTTGACAATGTCTTTATGTGAGACTTTCACTTGTAAACACTCTAAATTATATCATTTGCTTTCTTAAGGGACCTTATGTCTTATGACCGAAGGGGCAGACCTGGCGATCGCTACGATGGAATGGTAAGTTATGTTCAATAGAACTCCGAATACAGTTTTTCGGTAATTGGGTATCTTGAAAGCATTGTTTTATGTATGACTTGGGATATCAATGCCCTTTTACAATTTTACCTTTCACAATTAATTTTCAGTTTTCTTTAAGAAAGTGTTCATGAATCTTGAGTATTTGGAGACTTTAATAGTATTGTAGTTCAAGTTTTTCTCTTCACTGGCACTTGTGTACTTAGAACAGAGCTTTTGAAACTGTGTCACGACAGGTTAATGTGTTGGCTGCAGTCTGTAGGCTTTCCTGGGGCTGGAAAGGGGTTAGTTTAACCTCCAGTTTCCTAGTAAAACTGAATTACCATGTCACGAAATGATGCATGTCTAAAAAGTGTGTGGCCAGCATGAGAAGTTTGGAAAGCTCTGACTTACAGGATCTTAATCTTCAGGGTTAGGAACATGATTCTAATTGTGGGTCATCTTTTTCAAAATGAGTAACAGGTCTGATGAGGAAGAAATGTACTTTGACCAAGTTATTTAAGTCAGATTCATGTAGGGCTGTAGTTCCATAGTATTTTATGTTTGCAGTATGAAAGGAATATAAAGTTATATTTTACTGCTACCAGTTACCGGGGAAAAAGACCCATTGACTTCAGTAGGATTATATCTAGGTGGGCAGGTATAGAACTGCGCTGCAAGGCTCTTAGCGTATACAAGATTTCAGCCTAATTTACTGTGTACAGAATGCTTGCTTTCCTGCATGCCTAAATCAGAATTTACACTTTCTTAGGAATTACCAGAGGGGAAATGAACTCAGTAACTGCCCATAACACAAGTTCATTGAGTGACTCAGAAGCAAATGAATTTTAATATAATATAATTATATAATATATAATTAATATAATATAGACAGTATAAATTTTAATATAGTTAAAATACATAGTAATATAGTACAAATTAAACCAAACCCCAAACTGTATTTTAACTTAAAACATGTAATAACTGTTTGATACATTGAACCAAGTCAGGCTTATTTATTTTATGTTACTTTATTCGGGGCATTGTGAGAGGATTTATGTAGGTAATTGAAAAAATAAGAGCAGTATCCAATATTGCGTGTGTACAGGGCCTGCCACTTACATGAGGGTTCAGCTCCTGGCATCCATGTGCAAAGGCAAAATCACGTAAACCCAGGAAACCCCCAGAACTACTCCCTCACCCTGCACAATCATCCAAACTTGTCCAGAGCAGACCTTGGCCTCTGCCTTGCTTTCTGAGCTCTGGGAAGGCTGTGCAAGGCCCTGGCGGCATCCCATAACCCTTGAACATCCTTCCCAGAGGCTGGTAAGCAGTGAGTTTTCCCTGCCTTTCTTTTATTTCTTTTTTGACTGCCCAAGGTCACAATTGTGTAAGTAAATTATGCATAAGTGGTGGCCACTGCACACTTCTCACACAATTGGATTTTCCCTGCACCCCCCACCAAATCTCTAGGGATTCTCAACCTTTGTAACAGAATGGGGTGGTCTGCATGGGGAAAGTATGGGAAAAGGAGCATTCTCTGCATCTGATTGAAGTCAATTCTGCTTGCATATGGACTTCACGTTGCTTAAGAGCTGCACTTGGCTGCAGAATAATATAAGTAGTGCATATGGAAATTGCCTTAAATTGTCACCTATCAAGCTTGTTTTGCATATATTCTAACATGCAAACTGGTTTATGCAGTCTGTATCACATAAGTTTACAGGCACATAAGCTTTATGATTTATGAGTCTATAAAGTCCCAAGTAACTTGTTTCAAATGTATTTCTTCTTTCTTCTCTTTGGCAAGATGATGCAATGTCATGTCAATGCTTGCGATGACATAGAAACGCCAGAAATGGTGAGTACACTAATTAAAAAGCCTGCTTTGATTGGTGTTCTTGATGGTAGGAGAGAGGCAATAAGGAACTGGTTTTGAGCACAAACTGCCATTGCTAAAAGCTTCCATTTGGGGGTTTGCTAGATTTTAAGCAAGTAATACTTTTAGCAACAACTTTCTCCTACATCTTCTCCTAGAAGCTTGTAGTTGAAATGGATATGTTTAGATTAAACTCAAATACTTGTAGAGGCAAAGGAAACAGTTGCCTTAAGTATGGATGATGCAAAATTTCCCACTTCTTAATTTGTACTGTGGAATTCCTTCTCATATACTGTTTCAATCCCAGAAATGTTACAACATATTGTTTGTATAGTTAAGTAATATGGGATGAATGAAACATTAAAATACCTGAAGCAGTGATTTGAGTTCCTTATCTTAATGTCTCCTGAAATGTGTGTGCCTCTAAGTTGGCAACTGAAGACCTGAAAGATTCCAAAATGTTTTTTTTCCTCTTAATATGTTGTGTGTTTGATAGGCCTTAACTGAAAATGTTCAAAAACTTTTATAAACCTGTGTGCGCACACTGCCATGATGAATGTATGCATACCCATGTGTATGTATAGGCTGCTTAAGCTGGGTGGGGACGGAGGGATAGCTTGCCAGTGCACCAGGAAGGCATTCCATCACATGTTAAATTAGCGGAGCTGAATTTGTAACCTACCTCTGACGAGAACTGAGAATGTTTTGAGTGTTGATGGGAATGTAATTAGCATTACTGCCTGGCTTTTTTGTACAAGGTTGTCGGAATGTTAAATAGGAGTAATAGACTATTATTGAGGGCTATATAGTTTAGTCATTATCTGGAATTGGAATCTAAATATTTCCACTAGAATTGTTATCGCTGACTTTGCATGAATCATGCTGCATAAAATACGCCCGGTCAGTTACTGATTTGGTGTTCTCCATTGGAAAGTACAGTGGTACCTCGGGTTACAAACACTTTGGGTTACAGACTCCGCTAACCTCCGGTTAAGAGCTTAAACTCAGGATGAGAACAGAAAACATGCAGCAGCAGGAGGCCCCATTAGCTAAAGTGGTACCTCAGGTTAAGATTGGTTTCAGGTTAAGAACAGACCTCTGGAACAAATTAAGTTCGTAACCAGAGGTACCACTGTATTTTGAGATTGTTGAGATACCTAGATTCATTGGGGAAGGAGTTCCACAATGCTGGTGCTTTGGTGGTGAAAGGCCCTTGTTCTCTTTTGAAATCCAGAAATGCACAGATTTTACCTATGGTTTTATGGCAGAGGTCCAGTTATATATAGGTAGAGCTATATAGATAAAGGTAAAGGGGCCCCTGACTATTAGGTCCAGTCGTGACCGACTCTGGGGTTGCGGCACTCATCTCGCTTTATTGGCCGAGGGAGCCGGCATACAGCTTCCGGGTCATGTGGCCAGCATGACTAAGCCGCTTCTGGCAAAGCAGAGCAGCGCACGGAAACGCCGTTTACCTTCCCGCTGGAGCGGTGCCTATTTATCTACTTGCACTTTTGCGTGCTTTCGAACTGCTAGGTTGGCAGGAGATAGATAGATATAGATACAGATAAAGATATCAGCTGTTTAGAATACTTTCGTTAGCTTCCATGTTACATGAAAAGCTGCTAAGACTTTTTCTTTTTGTTTCCTTTTTGCTAGTTCGAGGGTGGATCAGGATATGGTAAGCTTTAATGCATGTGTACTATATACAATTTACTGTTCAGTCATTAAAAGAGCAAGATGCATACGTTTTAAATCAGACTATTCTTATGCAGGGGGTCGTGGCTCTTACGGTGATCTTGGTGGACCCATAATTACAACACAAGTAACAATACCCAAAGATGTAAGTATATTCCCTGTAGTTAAAATATTTTCAAATCTTGCGACATACGGTTTTTTAATCTTTGTGCAGTATGTTAGACTTACTGTTAAGCTTGTATTCTGCTTTGAAGGAAATGGGTTGAAAATTTCCTCCCCAACTTGTTATTGAACATACTGTTCAGGAGGGCTGCCTAATAAATTGTCATATTGTGTAATGGTATGTTTTTGTACTCTGGTAATAACTTTGTATGTTGTAATATTGCAATTACTAGCTGCTGCTAAAAAAAAAACCCTCACTTTTTTTCTAGCTGGCTGGTTCCATTATTGGAAAAGGAGGCCAGAGGATCAAACAGATACGCCATGAATCAGGAGCTTCAATCAAAATTGATGAACCCTTAGAGGGCTCAGAAGATCGGATAATAACTATCACAGGCACACAGGACCAGATTCAAAATGCACAGTATTTACTGCAAAACAGGCAAGTTGCATAGAACTGCAGCTGTAAACTAAATGTGTAAATTATTACTGAACTTTGTCTCTTGTATGGTATGTCTTTTTAAAGAAAGCTATTTTAAAAACAAAAAACACCTTTATGCTGGTAGTGTATACTAACGTCTGCACTTCGTAGTATGCCTTTCTCTTCTGTTTTCCATTCTTACTCTATGAAGACACCCTCAAAACTAATCTTGCTGGAAGTGACCTTAACCAAGCAGTCCTCATTTCTCTGGTGAAAACTGCTGCAAAAAACCTACTTGTAATCTATTACATAGAGCCTGTAGAAAATATAGAAGATTTCAGTGGATGTTGGTCTAGTTCTGTGTGGAAGACTAGTGATTTTGTTGTTTTTAGATAACCAAATCGACAACAAATCGCAGTCTGCCATATGGCACAGACCATGCCTCTACAGGACAAGTTGAAAACTATTGGTGCTGTTTAATGCAGCATTTCACACCTCACTGGCATTGCTTCCTTTTCTGCCATGTATAACAGCTCTAGGTTGTACTTGCTTTATTTCCTCTAACATCAGCTGTCTAGTGAGCATTTTGCAATGTGTAACTTGTCTTTTTGAAAGTAGATAGCTACTAATTACAAACTGTAAAATTTTAACCAGTATGTATTGTCTAATATTTATAATTGTGTAAAATGTATTTGCAAATATTGATTCAAGTTGTTTGTTCAACCATTCTAATACATGCCTTTTTTTTTTCTTTTTCCTTATAGTGTGAAGCAGTATGCAGATGTTGAAGGATTCTAATGCAAGATATTTTTTCTTTTTTATAGTGTGAAGCAGTATTCTGGAAAGTTTTTCTAAGACTAGTGAAGAACTGAAGGAGTCCTGCATCTTTTTTTTTTCTTAAATCTGCTTCTGTTTAAAAAGCCAACATTCCTCTGCTTCATAGGTGTTCTGCATTTGAGGTGTAGTGAATTTTTTTTTTGCTGTCACCAGATGTAATGTTTTTAGTTCTCTACATATAGGTGGGTGGGAGTGGGGTGGCTTGCAAAACTAACATTGGTATTTTGAAACAGCAGCAGAGAAGGTGGATTTTATTTTTGTTCTATGTTGGTTGTAAACTGTAATGTTTTTTCTGTCACTTGTGAACCATCTGCTTTATACCTTTTTTGTTTTGAAGAGGGAGAAGAGTACTGGTAGTTCACTTACCTATCCCTGGCATCCATTCAAAGCAGTGTGCAGAATGTAATGCTCTTTTGTAAGATGTTTTATGATTTTAAAAATAAATTTAGTGAACCAATTCTTGCAGTCATTTTTTTAATGCATACTTCTGTAGCTAAAATACACTTTCTACACCATTAATTGAGCTTGGCTTTTTCCCTATACCAGAGAAGCAGAACACCCAATTTCATTGTTTTTGCAAATTGGGAGTATTGATAATGCACTGACTCCAAAGTTTGATGTGTGAAGAAACTGAAAAATATTGAAACAGTTTTGCGTTCTTGTTACTCCAAATGTATGCCCCTAATTATTGTACTGCAACTTGTTGGTTTGAATAAAATTTCACAAAACTTGGTTTGTCATGGAATAGCAATTAACTGTAGAGGCTATTGGAATTTTAGTCATTTCTAGCATTGGCAATCTTGCCCATATCCAACTGTAACTTGTTTAAAATGTTTCTATTGTATAAAAACTGAATGACAAAACAATTGTATCTCACTGTTTGAGTTGCATAGAAAATGTGTGTGGAATCAAAAGAACCTGGATATTTTCATGTAAAAATCTCAGCATTTGTATTAATAGTTTACAAGTTTATTTGTCTCGAATAAACATTGTAATAACATCCAGCTGCATGTAACTTTGAGGTTTCAATATTTACTCTAGGTCTAATTCTCTACAGACTTAAAATATTTTCCTCTTTGTGTTTCACAATAAATTAAAAGATAAATTGAAATCTACCATGCCCTTCTTTCTTAGCTCTGAATGCTACACTGAGAAGCTATAGAAGAACATTTGCCAAAGATTCCTTCATTTGAGATACCTTTAGTATTAAGGAAGAACATCTTCATGAGGGCTTTTTGCAAAACCTGATCATGTAAGTGCTACTTATGTCAAAGTTAAAAAATGGCATATAAAGTTGCAAGTGGAGAGGAAGCTGTGCTGCAGTGGAGTGCTTTAGAGCAAAAAGAACAATGTAGATCTGGATTGTCGGCAGATCTCTGATATGAAGTGGATCGGCAGTGATACTTGATACCCCATTGGTGAAATGAAGACTTGGATTAATCGAAAGTGGATTTTGAGTACAGAAGAGCTCCATTCAGTTTTGGTCCTCGAACGGATATTTTTGGACTATTTATGCCATTTGCACTAAGCTCTGATTAATGGACCTTTAGGTTTTCACAGAAAATGAAACGTCCTTGCATTAGAGTGTATTTTTAATACCTCCGGTGAAATTCACCTAAAACAAAAGACTGCCTTTAGCTAGGTGTTTGCATTTCATGTAGGAGGGATGCATTATGCATCAGGATTTGACGCTGTTGTGTCCTGTTTCTGAACATTGAGTAAATGGGTCTTTAATCAGAAGATTTACACCCCTGTACAGTGGTGCCTCGCAAGACGAAAAGAATCCGTTCCGCGATTCTCTTCGTCTAGCGGTTTTTTCGTCTTGCGAAGCAACCGATTAGCGGCTATTAAAGGCTTAGCGGCTTAGCTGCTAAAAGGCTATTAGCGGCTTAGAAAAAGGGGGGGAAGCGGGGGAGAAATCGCAAGACTAGCAAGACGTTTCGTCTTCCGAAGCAAGCCCATAGGGAAATTCATCTTGCGAAGCAACTCAAAAACGGAAAACCCTTTCGTCTAGCAGGTTTTCCGTCTTGCGAGGCATTTGTCTTGCGGGGCACCACTGTACCTCTGTTTACGAACTTAGTCCGTTCTGGAAGTCCATTCTTAAACTGAAACCGTTCTTAAACCAAGTTGTGCTTTCCCTAATGAGGCCTACCACCACCAGTGCCCTTCCACTGTTTGGATTCTGCTCTTAGACCGAGATAAAGTTCGCAAACTGGGAGACTACCGGTTTTGTGGAGTTCGTTAACGGAATCGTTCGTAAACAGGACTGTCCTTAAACCAAGGTACCACTATTTGCTGTAGCCTTTGGCTATGTTGCCTTTTAAGTGTGATTAAGGGAAAGATGATTTTTAAACAGGGGTGGTACTTTTTGTCAAGATGCTTATTTTGTCCTAGGATGTTTTCATGATAACGAGAGTTATGTCCCAACAGGTATGGAAGGGATGCTGCAAGCAAATATTTTGCCTCTTCTAAACTTCCTTTAGGGAAAGGTGGGCAGAAGGCAGATGGGGTATTTTTGCAGTACTGGAAAGGGTTGGTAGCCTTTTCCCCTCCTAAATTGTGAAAGGGAGAAAAACAGGTAAATGTGAGATCTAGTTCAACTACTGAAGCCTGTTCGGAACAGTACCTCCCCACTCTCCTATGTTCCTCTTCCTGAGTTCCAGCTGGTGACCTGGGTTCTAGTGAAAACCAACCTAGATCCTATGAGACTGAAGTCTGCTGACTCTTGCTCTAAGGAAATACATTGTAAAGGAAACGAAAATATAGGAAGTTGGCAACCATTATAATAAAGGACTCAGTTTGATGGCAAGGTTAACATTTCATTAAATGCAACTATAGTACTTCTAAAAAAAACCAATCATTTGTCATGTTGGGATCCCTTTCTACTAAGAATTGAGTTCTTCCTTGCTCCTACAAGCAGGCTTTTGAAAGGTTTGCAGAGGAGTGATACTTTTCTCACGAAAGGAGGCAAGAATCTTGAGTTTACAAGTGAAGCCTATAGTGTGAAACAGACTCGCAAAGTCACTGTACTGAATAAACTAGAGCCTGCTTTCTTGCAGGCTGTTTAGACATTGTCATTTTTCATTTATTAAATGCGTATATTATTTATTAAATTTGACATCCCACCACTATCCTGTAGACATAAGTTCAACGATAAGTCCGTACTTGTTCGATCGTGTCCACTTGCAATAGGGCTTCCCCCACGCTAAGAACTAACGTGCTGCTTTTGCTCGAATGCAGCAAGTTCCCCTTGGAACAGTAACACGAAGGGGAGCTTCCCTTCCAAAGCCCTTTTCTGATTGCAGGAAGGACGGGGAGGGGGGTATCGGCCTAGGAATTAGCAGGTCAAGGAATACAGCCCACTGCACTTGGCAGTGCGAGGGATCGGGGTTGAGTTCTTAAAAGTGCCAAGTAATGTGCATAGTTGGGCACCGGCTATTTAAGCTGATTTTTAAATAAATGCAATTCCAGCAACCTTCGAGAAAGTCAAGCTGAGCAAGTGATTTGCAGGGACTGGAAGCCCTAAACCACTTTGATGGGCACAGGGCCAGATTTAGGTTTGATGAGGGCCTAAGCTACTGAAGGTAATAAAAAGGTAAAGGGACCCCTGACTGTTAGCTCCAGTTGCAGACGGGTTGAGCCGTTCATCTCACTTTCTTGGCCAAGGGAGCCGGCGTACAGCTTCCGGGTCATGTGGCCAGCATGACTAAGCCGCTTTTGGCAAACCAGAGCAGCGCACAGAAACGCTGTTTACCTTCCCACCAGAGTGGTACCTATTTATCTATTTGCACTTTTTTGGTGTGCTTTCAAACTGCTAGGTTGACAGGAGCTGGGATCGGACAACAGGAGCTCACCCTGTCGTGGGGCTTCAAACCGCCGACCTTCTGATCGGCAAGCCCAAGAGGCTCAATGGTTTAGACCACAGTGCCACCCGCGTCCCACTGAAAAGGGCCATTTAAATGTCCAGCTGTCCTTTGTCAACAATAAATTGCCGCTGTTTTTTGTTGTTGAATATATGCTATATGTCTAGTTACAGGAAGGTAGCCGTGTTGGTCTGCCGTAGTCGAAACAAAATAAAAAAAAAAATTTCCTTCCAGTAGCACCTTAGAAACCAACTAAGTTTGTTATTGGTATGAGCTTTCGTGTGCATTTACACTTCTTCAGATACTTCTGAATAGATTGTAGATAGATTGTATCTGAAGAAGTGCATGGACACGAAAGCTCATACCAATAACAAACTTAGTCGGGTGGCGCTGTGGGTTAAAGCACAGAGCCTAGGACTTGCCAATCAGAAGGTCGGCAGTTCGAATCCCCGTGACGGGGTGAGCTCCCGTTGCTCGGTCCCTGCTCCTGCCAACTTAGCAGTTTGAAAGCATGTCAAAGTGCAAGTAGATAAATAGCTACCGCTCCAGCGGAAAGGTAAACGGCATTTCCGTGCGCTGCTCTGGTTCTCCAGAAGCGGCTTGGTCCTGCTGGCCACATGACCTGGAAGCTGTACGCTGGCTCCCTCGGCCAATAAAGCGAGATGAGCGCCGCAACCCCAGAGTCGGTCACGACTGGACCTAATGGTCAGGGGTTGCTTTACCTTTAAGGTGCTACTGGAAGGAATTTTTTCTTATATGCTATATGGTAATTTATGGACATAATGGGTATCTAAAACCAGTGATGTTTTAGGGAGCAGCCTAGCAGGCGGGGCCCATTACTTACATCATAGGAGCCTACACAACACAATGTGGTGCCTTCCATAGTTCCAGTTACAGATAGGTAGCCGTGTTGGTCTGCCATAGTCAAAACAAAAAAAATTCCTTCCAGTAGCACCTTAAAGACCAACTAAGTTAGTTCTTGGTATGAGCTTTCGTGTGCATGCACACTTCTTCAGATACCAAGTGCATGCACACTTCTTCAGATACACACTTCTTCTTATCTGAGCATGCACACGAAAGCTCATACCAAGAACTAACTTAGTTGGTCTTTAAGGTGCTGCTACTGGAAGGAATTTTTTTTGTTTACACAACACAAAACACTGTTGCTGTAAGTAGGTTTTATTTTATTCGTTTTTTATCTTATATTTCTAAATGTACATCCGGGGGGGGGGTTTCCTTTAATTTTTTTGGGTGCCCCCAAGTGAGTGGGGCCCTAAGCTATAGCCTGTTTAGCTTATACGCAAATCCGGCCACGAGGCCTGCCAGGCTGCACGCAGCTACTTTCGCTTTCCGAGTCCGGCCCGCCTGCTTGTAAATACGGCTAATTCTGATTGGGTCGTGAAAGTGGGAGGGGGCTGGTACGAAGGTGGGGAAGGAAGGCATTTGCGCGCGCGGAAGCGGGGCGGGGGGAGGAATCTTGTCGCCTTTCCTGCAACCGGAGTCCAGGTATCGTCTGAACGTCCTAACACCTGCTCGCTTGCGGAGGTAAGAGGGCTTTGAGCGCTCGGAAGCGTCGCGATCTTTGGTTCAGGAGAGAAAAGCGGCGCTGCAACTCTGCAAAAAGTCACGGATCCCGCGCCTGCACCTATTTTCCGCAGGCCTGCGGGAGAGCAGCGGGTCTGGCGCGGCCACGTGCGTGGGAGAAGGGGCCCCGATTCTCTTCTGCCCTCCGACTCGCGCGGAGACCCTCCACTGGGATCCGATTGGGGAAGGGAGCGGGAGGGAGGAGAACAGCGCCTTTTTTGGTATCGTCTGAAATGCCTGGCTTTGTAAAAATCCCCGGAAACCGGCAGATCCGCTAGCATTCCGCATCTGGAGGCCGCTTTGCACAAGACGGCAGGATTTTAGATCAACGCTTTAAAAAAAGAAAAGAAAAAAGGATAAAATGAGAAGTGAAAAGTCACCTGGAAAGCCTAGTTATGAGTGAAACCATTAATCTGAAGTAGGCGGTGGCAGAGAGTCCTGTGTTGGCAACCCTGGAGAGCCCCTGCCGGCCAGTGTCGGTAATGCTGGACTCTATGGGGATAAGTTGGCCAGGGAAGCTAGAAGAAGTGCTGTCTCTTCCTCCCCTCCCAGATTAT